TTTTCAGTAAATGGAATTCTCATTATGATTCAGAGTGTTTAGAAAACATTTTGAAGATTTAAATGTAGAGCTGGCAAAGTGTTTGAGAAGCTAATAAAAACAGACCTGCACTCTGGTAGCTGGCTCTGTGCATGAAGCCAGAAATCAGACTGTGAAGTTCCTAAGGTCAGAATGGGAAATTCAAGGAAGGAACAGGAGCAGTTCAGAAGAAATTCATAAGTCCTTTATTTTACTAATTCCGTTTAGTCACTTATAACACTGATCACTTATGTACAAAAGCAGGTATGCAAATAAAGATTGACTGTACTTGTCAGGTTAAGTTTAAGGAAGACATAATCTTGGAGACATTGCATGCTAACTATTCAGGTCTGAAGTTTTGATTTCTATGGACAATACCAATTTTGAGTGAGTGACTAATATATGCTTTTGTTTATTCATTCAATCCTGAACTGTTTCCTAAAGGTGTGGCTATTTGTATTAGAGTGCATGGTTTCTGCTATTCTTCTATTGCATTGGCTTAAAGCACGAAGAATAAGGTATTGCGTCAAAGGTCATGAAACTCATACAAAAAAGTTAGCTCCTGTTAGAGCTGTGTGATATTAATGTGCTCATGAAGCTAGCTGCTCAGAAACAGTCACAGGAACATGGAATGTGTAAATTATGATGCAAAGGATGACTTAAAATTAGGTATAGTTTTCATTTTTAATTAAAATTAGTTGATTTTGCTTGTTGTGGAACTAGGGCTGTGCCGGATATTCGGCTTTTGCTTTCTGGTAAAATCTAGAGATTGCCATGCAAAGAAAATGTCACCCGAAATGATCAGGGCATGAGAATATTTCCCTTTTTTCAGTTCCAATGAGCAGTGTTGTTTCTTTTGGCTGTTGCTTTCCTCCTCCTCTCAGGGTTAGTTACATGGATGAGCCCAGTCAGGAAGGGTTCTTTAACAGTGAATGTGATGCTTTCACAATTCCGGGTAGCCAATCATATTCTTCATGATATCACTGAAGAACAAGGACACTTTTTTCCCCAAGGACTACTGAAAAAGCATCAACAAAAGAGGCATTTTCTGGCATTGCCAAAAATGCTGCTGGAGTTGTTTTGGTTGAGCCCTGTGTGCAGCTGTCCAGAACAGTTTTAAGCAATAGTAGTGCAAGTTTGCTTCTGTCTTTTACTGTTTCACAGAGGTATTGCTAACCTAATGTTCCATAGGGGGTGGTAAATTACAACCACTGTTGTGATTAAACTTGCTTCCTTATAATCTGAATAAGCTGGTAGTCTTTGGTGACACTTGAATGAGCCCAAGAAAGTAGGTTAGTAAACTCTGTAAATAAACCCACAAAAACTATTAGCCTGCAGAAAAGGTTTAGTAACCTGCTAGAGGTTGATGGAGAAGGGGCAGAAATGTTCTATTTCACTTGCACAAGCCTCCGCCTTTTGCTTCCTCTTCACCTTTGCAGCCTGCTGCCTTGCCTGTCTCTCACTCTGGCCCAGTCAACAGTGGTGTTGGTAAGAAGCTCTGGATGCTTCCACCTGCTTGCTTGCTTACTGGCTGGCTGCCTGCCTGTTCAGCAAGCCAGTGGCCACAGTGATGAAAAAGCAGAGGAGCACTAGCAGCTGGTGTGGTGGTGGTACTTAGAAGGTAGGTGAGCGAAAATTCCCACTGGGGGTATCTTGCGCAAGCACCCTCCAAAGACTGGAACTAGCAATGAACCCAGCCCTCTTCTGCCAGCTAATTCATTCACTAGCAGATAATTCCTTGTCACCCGTGGCCATCAGACTAGTGCTTAAATACAAG